CCACTTTCCATCCTACTCTAAAATAATTTCCTCTTCTGTTCAAACAGTACAGTGTGATGACTAAACCTCTTCTACCAGAACAAAAAAAAAATTAATATGGTCCAACTGGTTAAAAATTTTGCACTCATTTCCTCATATTTACAGACATTTATAAAAAATTGAGAAATCTCATGAGTTATATGGATGGTCACTGTATAATTACCTACAAAGAGAGAGAAAAAAGTATTTAGGATATAGAAGTGAAAGAAAAATATGTATTTCATAATATGGAGATGTAAGGTGAGTGAATGTGAAATGCCTCTTCCCCTGAAAAGGTTTAATCATTTTTAAATATCAACACACCTCATTATAAAGACAACATGGCTTATCCAAATATAATCAATAAAGTACTGCAGTCTTTAATAAAAAAATTATGGAATTCTCAAATAGTCCCTGAGAGAGAGCAGTTTATGAATATGGTTTGAATATCAGTTAAATACAGATTTTTAAAATAGTTGAGCCATTATGTAATTAAATAATATTTGTATAATGACAATTGCATACTCCATAAGTGAAAGTTAGATTTAATGAGACATTTATCGGCACAAATGATTAATAATAAAACTCTCCCTGCTGAGGTTAATTTATACACATTCAATATGGCCAAGAAGAAAAGCTCCTTTTCATGCTTGCCTTGTGCTCCGTGCTGCCTACTCTTCAGCAATTCAGATCAATTTCTTGTTAAAAACAGCAGCCCAGGACTTAGGAGCAATGATCACTGGGAGCAAGACAACAGACAAAGGCTCCTTTTGAAACATGTTGAGGTTATAGCAAATTTGGGGCAACATTTAAGTTTAATTTTGCTAGTAAAAATCAGTACATTTCCCTTAAGAATGTATGGAAATGTCTCAGGGACCAAATTAAGCCCAGTCCTGATCTTCTGGGGGTAAGGGGGTCGCACATTTGAAAATTAGGTAATTTGGTAGTCGTGTGAGCATCATCTCAAATCTGCCCCTTATTTCCTAAAGTGAAAAAGGTGATTTGGGCACGTATTTTCCAGGAAGTCCTAATATCAGTACATTGGTCAGTCAAATTGCAGGTCAGGTCAATGGGTCCAACAAGAACCAGCTCCTCATTGTCAGCTGTAAAAGCAGAAAAGGTGATCTCATCCAAAAACTAAGGGCAGACTGCATTCCATAACCAGATAGACAATGCCATTTTTGGTTATCTTCTCCTGGCCCCATCCTTTCGAAATACGCCTTTGAAAGTATGGGAAAGAACTCAAGGTCCACAAAATCTTGTTATCTTTTCTGCCTGGGAACGCAGCTGGACCAGAGCTCCCAGGCTCCCTTGCATTTCAGTGGAGAGGGGAGCTGACTTAACACCAACAGTGTCTAAGCAGAGACGACAAACCTCCCCAAGCCAACCAGTACAACCTCCCGTGTCACCTGAGAAGCTCCTGCCCAATCGCTGGAAGGGTGCAGAGCCTCCAGGGAGGACTCAGAGACCCAAGGGAATGGCAGAACCACCAGAGAGAGGAGGTCTGGGTCTTTGAATCACAGTATTGGAAGACCACCCATCAAATGCCTGATTCAACTTTATGTGACTAGTAAATATACTTCCAGTATATTAAGCCACCATGGTTCTGGGTTTTTTTGTTACAGCATTCAGCCTCACCACAATACAAAGGACAGGCTTGGATTCCCACTCAGTGATGACACTTGAGAGCCAATGTGACAGTCCCTCCCAGTGTTAAGTACATTTATAAATGAAGACAGTTGCTGACAATCACAGGTATGGAGCTTGAAAAACAGAAGCAGAGTTCAGAACGCTGAGGCTCTGCTAGGGAGGCATCTGCTTCCTACACAAGGCTCCTGTGCCCTGGAGACTGACAAAGCCTTGGCAGACAGGAAACGTGCTGGGCCAAGCCCCCTGCCACCCTGCACACTGCTTCCAGAAAATGAGATCACCTCCACAGGAGTATTTTTAGATCAGCCTAATTTCTAGAACAAGCCACATCTCCATGCCCACACCGGATGTTCATGCTCTTACTGATGCTTTTGCTTTTCGATTTCCATTATTGATACTTACGACAGTATGATTAGTCTGATTCCGAGTCTCTGAGGTATAACTTTTCAAACTATCAAGTCCATGAAGAAGACACCTATATTCTGCCTCTTCTCAAAAATTTCACAGATTCTTGGTTTATGTGCCTTTCCTCCCTTAGGTTATGGACTCTTTGTGATCAGGCTCTGGGATCCCTTCCTTGGGAATCTTCACCCTTTAGCTGGTTTCAGTACCCTTTCCTAAGACCTCTTAACATCTAATGTTAATGAATGACATTTATTACAATGACAGTATATTATAAATATTTCAATTTGCTTTTCCCAGACTGTGAGCAGGGGTTGAGTCCAAATAGTTTAATTTCTAGCACTGGGGACACACCTTGGTGTATCCTTTTATTCATTTGAGAAAGATTCATTGAGCACCTGCTCTGTTCCAGACACTAGGCAGTCTCAATGGGAACTAACAGCTGTCAGGGTCCTAGTCCTCAAGGAGCTAACAGTCTAAAGAGGGAGACAGCAAAGATTGTCTCTAATAAATTCATAAACATCGATGTTAGGTGATCTGGAAGGAATGGGTATGTTTCTGTGATGATGTCTTACCTTTCTTCCCTCAGACAGACCCTGAGATAAAGGTTTGGGTGCAGGTGGCTTGTTTGGGAGGTGATTTCAGGGAGTGCAGTGAGAGACTGGAGAAGTGAGACAAGGAACTGAAGAGAGCCAGTCAAGGTTTATGTTAAGGAGCAGATTAATGCTGTGGGCAACTGCAGTTCAGCCTTGCTGGGGGCCTCTGAGAGACTGTATGGAATATGGCTGAGAACTGCCCCGCTGTGGGGCAAGACGGGTCTCAGGCAAAGATCAGATGCTTAGAAATGCAAATGGATGGATAGATGTATAGAAGGATATGGATGCTGCATGGTAGGGCCTAACTGAAGGACTGAAGGAGGCAATGAATGAGAAAACAAGGACTGAATGGGGAATGCATGATTGATGGATGCATGATAAAGTCCAGTGGCTTCTGCAAGGGAATGTCTGATGGTAAGCCATACAATGTCATTGCCCTGAGAGCTGTATGAGAATATGAATGTGCTAATTCCACATGGAAAGAGATGCAAACTGTAGGGAAAATGGATGTTCCATGGCCAGGACTCTCACCTGATCCTAAGTTCACCCACCCATTGTGTACATGCAATGATGTAATACTTAGCCTACTGAGCAAGCACATACTTGTATATGCATTGGCAGTAAGCCATTATTGCCATATTACTATAAAAACAGGTTCCCTGGTGCTAAGAACAGAGCCTAGAGAAGAGAGCAGGAGAGAGGAGAGCAGAGGCTGGAGGTGAGGGCTGAATGGAGCAGAGAGAGAGCCTGGGGCAGAGGCTAAGCCAGATGCCGAGATGGAGTCGGAAGGGATTCTGGCATTTGATCTACCGCTGTGAGAATAAAGCTTGGTATGAGTGCCTTCTTACCTCCAACGTTCTGTTGTCATAATTCGGTCTCACCAAATCCAAAGTAAACTTGCCTGGGGCTGAAACCATCAGATGAGACAAAACCTAGTCTGAGTTTTCTCATGCACACAGGTGGACCTTTGAAGAAATTTCATATTTATTCAGAACCTTTGGTTTAATGATACCATGTCTCACATGCCCATTGGTAAGGAAGTGGAATTTGTGGTTCTAAATCTTCCTAGAAGTTCCTTATCCATCCCCGAAATGCTGACATGGCGCAACCAGGCCTGCAGATGGAGGCATCTTAGCCAGTGAAGAAAGGAATGCAGTGAAATTGTTCACATGCATATGTTAAACAACCATGCATTCATGTTTATTCACTCATTTTCTTATTAATTTAGTGTATATTTATCGAGCATCTACTAGGTAACAGGAGCTGGCAATTCCATGGTAAGCAAGCAATACCATCTCTTCTCAGAGATTTCCCTGGTGGAGGCTGAAGATGTTCAGTACATATGCAGAATTATGATATGGTAATGAAGGAAATAGTATAGAGTCCCACAGGATGGCACATATGGGCGCTTAATCTATCCTGTAAAGAAAGGGAAAAGCTCCTTGAAGAAAGGGTGGATGAGTAGGAAGTAGCAAGTAAAGAGTAGAGTGGCCAGCCGGGGGAGGATCCATGTCATGACCGCCAGGAGGGGACGGACGATGGCCCATCCAAGGACAAGGCAGAATGCCGGGCAGGCAGGAGCGCAGGAATGTGAGAGTGCTGATTCCGCAGAGAACTTGATAGGAGGCGAGGCTGGAGAAATGGGCAGGAGACAGATGCACAGTTTCCTGTATACAGTGTTACAAACTTCAAAACTGATTCATGGTCAGTAGATTTTTGGTTCAGCAAATTTTTTTTTTTTTTTGAGAGGGCATCTCTCATATTTATTGATCAAATGGTTGTTAACAACAATTAAATTCTGTATAGGGGAGTCAATGCACCATCATTAATCCACCCCAAGCCTAATTCTCATCAGTCTCCGACCTTCTTAAGCATAACAAACAAGTTCTTATATGGTGAACAAATTCTTACATAGTGAGTAAGTTCTTACATGGTGAACAGTACAAGGGCAGTCATCACAGAAACTTTCAGTTTTGATCATGCATTATGAACTATAAACAATCAGGTCAAATATGAAAATTCGTTTGATTTTATACTTGATTTATATGTGAATCCCACATTTCTCCCTTATTATTATTATTATTTTTTTTTAAAAATAAAATGCTGAAGTGGTAGGTAGATGCAAGATAAAGGTAGAAAACATGGTTTAGTGCTGTAAGAAAGCAAATGTAGATGATCAGGTGTGTGTCTGTAGACTAAGTATTAATCCAAGCTAGACAAGGGCAGCAAAACATCCACGGATGCAGAAGATTTCTCTCAAAACAGGTGGGGGTGGTGAGTTTCTAAGCCTCACCTCTGTTGATCCCCAATTTCTCACCTGATGGCCCCCCTGGGACTGTGCCTGTCTTAGGTTGTTCCTCCCTTGAGGAATCTTGGTTCAGTAAATTTTATAAAAGAATAAACCGTGATGAATGGTGGAGTCAGAGGCCACAGGACGCAGAGGCTCCTGGGTCCTGGGTGGAGTTAGAGAGGCCGTCTGTCTTCTTCCCACACTCTCTATCTGCATACGAGCCAGCATGAGAGATGCTGAGTCAGAGACGCAGTTTGGATCTCACCTCTGCCGCCTACCGTCCGCGTGACCTCGTCATCTGAGTGCATCGAGCCTCACTGCAAAATGGGAGTGCTGACAACCGTACCTGGTAACATCAGCGGGTCTTTGTGTGTGTGCGTGAGCGGAGAGGGGTGGAAGAGACGGCCAGCCCAAGAGCTGGTGCTCCTTAAGTGCTAATTACTGTGCCCGCAGACGGTGGGTTTGCCCATGAGACCACGGAGAACGGACACGAGGCTAGAGGCCATAGCTGCAGAATGGTCTCTTGGCGTGACGCAAGGAAGGCTGCTCGCAAGTTCATACCTGTCCAGCAGTAGAGAGGCTGCTCTTGGAAGTTAGAGAGACTTGTGGCCCAGCCCTGCACTTATCAAGCAGAAGTTGTAAAACCACTCAGTGGGGTTCGTGTGGATAGCGAGTTGAGCCATATCAGCATCTTCCAAATGTTAGTTTGACCTGAAGCCAGGAAAACTTTTGTCCTGTAGACGTTTCCTGCAACAGCCTGATACATAAAAGAGAAAAACATAGCTGTTCCAGCCATACCTGTGTGGATATTGGGATGTCCCCAGAAGGGCTTGTTGTCTCCGTCTCTCCCCTGACACAGACTCCATGTTCTCACTACAGCCTTTATGGAGATGTGAGAAAAACTCGGGGCCCAGGCCCTGCATCCAGGGATTTTTAGATGCTCGGCTTGTGCCTGAGCCCCTGTGTGGGCCCGCGGTGGCCTGGGGCGGGCAGCACCGGCTGCAGCGGATCAGGGGTTGGATTCCCAGCAAAGGTTCCCACTGTGCCCGGCACAGGGGTCTCACTCTGGTCGGGCTGGTTTGTCACCATCCAAGGGAGCTCAGCTCAGCTGGAAGTCAGGTCCTGTGGCTCTGAGCGAGGCTTCCTGGGTGGCAGCCATATAAGTCTGGGAACACCTGGTTTTATGCTGGGAGTCTGGGGTCAGACTGATTTGCTGGGTGTTTTCCTGCTTTAAAATCTGCTAGATGACCGAGATGATGAAAATGGTAACCTTGCCCCTCTCCTCCCTTCCAAGAGGCCGTGCTGTCTGCTTGCAGCCGGGGCAGCCAAGGGGCTCCCTTGGAAGCCTGCCCCTGCCACTTGACGTCATCTTGCTGAGCGCTGGCTCAGGTTTCCCAGAGGGAGGCACCTACCAGAGTAAGCAACTGACGGGTGACATCCAGGAATGATGGAGAGATGGCGACAAAGCTGTGTTCTTCGGAAGGAGTTGTCACTGGAGGGAGTGAGAAGGCGAAGGTCGACACCACGTACGTTTTTTCAGGTCAGCCTGTGAAGTGCATAAAATTGAAAAATTTTTAACATTTGGGTATTTTAAAATGCCCAAATGATTTTAAAACGACCACACCTGTGTTAGTTAACCTCTTTGTTTTCCTGTTCCTTTATCTGAACAGTAGGAATAATATTTTAGCTCCCATAAGAAGGGCTGTGAGGAGAAATGAATTCTTAAAAAATTTTTAAAACATTTGACACATGGGAGGTGCTCCATATATGTATGTTTATTTTATATTATTTTACATTTGCTTAAAATGTGAATGTATGTAGATCTGCATTTCTTCATTCATTTGTTCATTCGTCAAACATTATTTTCTGCCCTCAGTGTCCTGAACCTGAAGCTGAGAACAAAGGGCAGGAAGACCAGTTCCTTCCTGGGAGCCTCAAGTCTACCCCTTCCTTGAGCCTCTGGTTCTGATGGCTCAGGTGTCAGGCAGAGTTCAGAGATTTTATTTCCTCTTGTAGCTTTATGACTTTCAGACTGTTCCCCCCAAATTGTGCTTAATTTTAACTTCATTAACTTCCTGTTCTGTCACAACAGTTGAACGAGGATTTCTCCATGAGCAGTATTCAAATCAGTTTTTAATGAGCTATTTAATTAAAGGCTAATTGAGGTGAATTCATTAAAGATTTCTAAATTATGCTTATCCGAGTAGCTATGTTTTAAGATAAGTTTTAAATATTTGTTTTATATTGCATTGTTTGATCATAAAAGTATGTATAAAATTACTTTTTTAAAATGACTAATTAGAATGTGGGTGCATTTTTCTTCCTTAATACTTGAGTAGGGCAGCTAGAAAATCAATTTAAATATGTTTCGTGCTGGGCTGAGGCAATAAAAAGTTACTAGTGACGATGGCTGAGGCTGTGTTTGATCCATGAAAAGTCCCCAAGTCTCTTGAGAGGTGGTATTGTTGGGCTGCCTTTAATCTGATGTTCTGACTGCACTGTATGCCATAACTGCTTCGATGTGGGGTTCTTACCAAGCCTTGGTGAGTTTGGGTTTCAGTGGGGAATGGGACTCATCTTTTCCATGCCCAGTGCTACTCAGAAAGTGAATACATAAAATATGATTGGCCTCCCCCACACATACCAGGGCAGACCTAACTGTCAGGGCCATTCACTGGGCATAAACATTTAGCTAAACAAACATGCACTGAGTGTCTCCCTCCACACTAGGTATGGTCCCAGGATACAGATGAACCGGGGCTCATAGTTTAATGAGAGAGACACACGAGTCAGTGGACATGCACACACCACTGTGATGTTTGTCCTTCCAAGCCAGGAAAGAGCCTCATGAGAGAAGAGTGGTGGGCTGGCTTGACGTGGGCAGCCTGAACTGCCCCTGAGGGATGGGACTCTTAATTCTTGACAGACAAGTAGGTGTTGTCCAAGCAAAAAAGTGGGGAGGGTCATTACTGGCAAAGCAAGTCAGGTTAAGTGAAAGAATGTAAAGTTGAGGATTAATGTGGAATTCAAACAGTGAAAGATGGAGATGGGAATGGGAGATCGGTCTACCTAGGGAATCAGGTGATGGATTGATCATGAAGGCCAGCTCAGGAATCTGAAGTTTGAACTAGAAATGTAAGGAACTGTAAAGCCATTGAAAACCTGTCTCCTCACCACATCCACACACACACCTCAAGGGGCTTTAAGGAAGGAAAGGGGAAGCTGACAGTTCACAATGTGTAGTCCTTGGAGCAGCGTTATAATGTTCAAGCAAGAGAAAGAAGACTAGAGATAGGATGATAGTGTTTTGTTTTTTTAGATTAGGAGCTAGTTTTGTTATTGAAATTTATTGTTGAGCATGAATGCTTTCCTAATTGGTGATCCCTTTTAGGCCAACTCTGGTATTGAAGATAATAGTTTAATTGGAGATTTTTCTACTCTTTAGGCAAGAGAAAGGACAGTTAGTGGGTTGTAAACAGAGGAGGAAAAAGCCAAGAGAAAAATCAAGGGATAAATATCACAGGCTTGTGTGACTGGCATGTAGAATGGTCTTAGTTATGGCTGCTGTAACAAAATTCCACAGACTAGGTGGCTTATATAAACAGAAATTGATTTCTCACAGGTCTGGAGGCTGGAAGTCTGAGATCAGCCAGCATGGGCATGTTCTGGTGGGGGCCCTTTTCTGGCCTGCAAACTGCAAACTTCTCATTGTCTCTTCACGTGGTGGGAAGAGGGCAAGAGAACTCTCTGAGGTCCCTTTTATAAGGACACTAATCCCATTCCTGAGAGCCCCACCCTCTTGAGCTAATCACCTACTGCAGGCCCCACCTCCCAATACCATGACTTTGTGGGTTAGGATTTCAACATATGAATTTGCGGGTGGGGAACACAAACATTCAGTCTGTAACAAGAAGGGGAAGGAAAATTGGAGGAGGCTCTCAGATTTGGTCTTGGGTGTCTGCGTGGAGGGAGGTTCCAACAACCCAGACAGAGACTCTTGACCAGTACATGCCTAGAATGCTCTGTTCAATGCCTGTATCTCATTTTAAGCGAGATAATGAGCAACTTGGGCCTTCAGGTGGAAAATGATCAGGAAGGAGAAGGCACTGGAACCATCCGCCATGCACATCTACAAAAAGAAAGGGAGCTCTCGAACAGGGAGCTACAAACCAATGAATGGCTCATAGGAAAGGTTGAGGGGAAGGGAGGTAGAGCCCTGAGAATATGGGGAGACCTACCTAATTTTTCTCCTTTATTTCAAAACAAATAGTTTGAATGGATTGGCAGTTACATGGAGGAGAGTTTGGCAAAGTGGTGAGCTCCTCATTCTAGGCATGAGACAAGAAGGGGCTGTGGTACCTATGACATTTTTACAGAAGATGCTGGTCAGAATGGGGTGAGGAATGGCTGATAAGACTTAAATGCCATAAAGGTTAAATGCCAGAAAGGGTCCATCCAAAGCTGCAACTGAATGATTCTGTGAATTCCTGATTGCACTGATTCATCAATCATTTGGCCTCTCTCTTGCAAGGAATGGCTCCCTCATCCTGTGTGTGCATGTGTGAGGTAAAGGAGGAAACCCACATTATAAATATGGTGGAAAATGGTGCTTAGCTAATGTCACAAATCCAACTGAGTAAAACCACTTTCCTTTTAAAGGGCTACTTTGCAGTTGACATTGCAAAGACATTCTCAAAGACAGGGATTTGTCTAAAAAGTAGAAAGGCTGACGAATTAGTAACATCAATAGACCAGTGTCCCCAGCAAATCTCAGCAAGGTGCACGTAGGCCCTGCTCTTGATTTCTTCTCACTCAACAATGCATATGCAATGCCTGCTGTTTGACAGGTGGGAGGAAGAACAGAATGTTTTTCCCAGAGCATAGACAGTAAGAGGCTCTCCTGCATAAACACCTCCCTCTGCCCCCCATATTTGATATAGAGAAATCTCTGCTACAGGGGACAGACATAAGATGAAAGGCCTCATTTTATTCACTTCGGGCCAAAGCCAGGGTTTCATAAGGACTACTGGGCTGGGTTCATTCACTCAGTGGATTTCACTAACTCACTCAAAAAATGGCTTTCTGTTTCCCAGCTCCTCTTGATGCCCTCTTCTCTTCTCTAACCTTACATCCACTGTCCTTTCTTGCCCCAAAAACTGCAGTGATATCGAACTGGGCTCCCCTCATCTATTTTTGCCGCACAGTGATCTCTTCTCTGTACTTCTCTCCAAGCAGCGTCTTTAAAAGTGAATTGGCCCTGAGACTCTGGTTTATCATTAACCTTCCATGGCTCTTTGGTACTTACACTGAAAGATCCAACCCACCTGGCCTTCTCCAAGTGTTGTGGGCTGAACTGTGTGCCCCCACCCCCCAATGCAGGAATGTTGAAGTCCTTACTCCCAACATCTTAGAATGTGAATGTATTTGGAAACAAGGCCTTGAAAGAAATAATTAAGCTAAAAAGAGGTCATTTATTTGAGTGGGCTCTAATCCAATACAATTGGCGTCTTTTTTATAAAAAGAGGAGATTTGGACCCAGATGGGTACAGAGGAGAAATCATGTAAATCAGATGCAGGAGAGGTGTCAGAAGAAACCAGCCCTGCTGACACCTTGACCTCAGAGTTCCAGCCTCCAGAACTGTGAGACAACTTATTTCTGTTGTGCAAGTCCGTCCCCCAGTCTGCGGCATTTTGCCATGGCAGCCCTAGCTGATCAACACCCTGAGTTTCCCAAACGTGCCAAGTTCTGGTCCAGCAGGGCCTCTTTGGGCCAGGAGTGTGCTCTTCTCCCTCTCTGTACACCTGGGTCCTTCTCACTCCTCTGATATCGAGTGGAATGTCACCTTTCCAGAAATGCTTTCCCTAACTACTCATTGAACGCAGCCCCCTCTTCTCCGTCTCTCCGAACCCCACCATTATCTGCTAATTCAGCTCTCCCCACATACTCTAAGTTCTGTGAGTCCAAAAGTCTGCCTGTTTGTTGATTATTGTAGTCCAAGGATTCAGCACAGTTCCTAGTTTGTAGAAGGCCCTCAGTTGATTTATTAAATGAATGAATGAATAAAATACAGATTAAGAAGCTCTCACACACCTGTCATTAACCAGGCATGAGGAGGAGGAGATGAACATATCAGAATTGGGCTGTCACTGTGTGACGTAGAATCCCACAGGTAAAATGAAAATTGACATCAAACAGGTAAACATGATTAAGTATAATAATGTAGGCTTGGGAGAAATGCCCCAGACTTTACAAACTGTGACATCTTTGTCCATCCTCACAGGCCAGAGACCTTCTGTGGTTGCTTGGGGAAGAGGACACCCTTATTGAATAATTTCTGATGAGCTGCAATTGACCGAAATATTCTGACTCTGAATATGCTGTTTTTTCACGGAGAAATAATTCAAACGAAGATTGGTGCACACCCCATAGTCTCCTAGTGGTGAATTTGCAGGATTCTAATTCCCAGAAATGTCACATACGGAGGTGGCAAGTGGCAGAGGACCATCATGCTCTAGGTCGAGCAGAGCTCAGTTAAGAGAAGGCCA